TTTTTTTTCATTTTAGAACTCCTTCCCATGATATATTAGGTTATTAAAACACCGAGAAACCTTGAAATACTATAATGTAATGTTTGTTTGTGCTTCGATCGCATAACGGACACTACTTATAGATTACACAGGATATATAATAAAGCTGGATGGTCAACAAATCAGTATGCAAATTAAATCCTTTGTCTTCAGTCTGTCATTCAACATGATATGTAAATGCATGAAGGACGTGTTCACCTACAACAAGTTTCTGGGAATAAATTGAAATTATGCACCAAATGCACCGCGCACTGTAAATTCAGACCAAAGATAAAGAAAGTACACAATATAAGGTTGCATAATCCGGGATTTTTAGAATTTTTTTTTTTTCTAGTTTTTCCCCTCTCGCTACCTTAAGGGTACTCTCATCATAACTCTAAGCCAAGAGAACTGAAAAACTGCATTCTGGGTAGATCTTTTTTGATTGAGGTAACACACAAGGCTGCCATGATTGTTAACGATCATTGCAACGTTCACTTTCCACCACGGCCAGGGATATTTTATACAGTTCAGTTGCTATTGTTGTCAATTAACCAAGAATCCTCATTACATATTTTGCCACTATTTTTGCACAACAAATAGCAGATGAGTACTTTAATAATAATATTGATTTTCTGATTGGAGCCATAAGTGTTTTGATTATAAATTCTAAAGCTAAAAGAAATACAGTGAGCAGTTTACGTAATATGGAAAAAAAATTACAAATATCATGAGTAAATTATATGCTAATTATTATGCAAAATTATGTCCATCCTTGACCAAAATCCTGAAGAAAACACTGTTTTGTGTCAAACGCGTTACCTACCTTGAGCATGGAGAGCTTGTTGACCAAAATGGGAAAAAGGTCCTTGTTCGAATATGAGTTGTTCTTTACCAACATTCACTTCTACTTTGCCAGTTAATATTAACACAAAATAATCCACAGGTTTTCCTTTCTGGTACAGATACTGTGATGGTTGATGTTTGCTGGTTTTCTCAATTTCCTCCTTGAAAGAGTCATATTTGACTTCTACGATCACATCTTGTGTAAGTAGACGCCGTAAAATATTCTCAGAGATTAAATCTGCTTTAAAAGCTTCAATTGCTTCATAGAAAAAACAGAAAATAATTTAGGAATAAAGTTGAATACTACAATACTACATACAGAAAAGCAAAAAGAAATCTACAGCTGCATCACTGTGTTAAAATCAAACGACGATTTTAAAATATAAATCAAAGAAAGCTTAGAAAGAACTCCCATGTGCTGAGAGTATTGGAGACACATTAAATATAATTCGAAATTACTTAGCTGAAAACTAATTATGCAAATCAGAAAATTAATATG